TGCTATAATAAACAACACTGAATATTAGTAATAATAAACAAACTGAGTATATTAGTAATATATTAATACAATTATTAATATACTAATATACTAATAGTATACTAATTAATAATATACTAACATAAATATTAATATTATTAGTAACACTGAGTTTATTAGTAATAAACAAAATGAGCATTCTCACATAAACACCTTTACACAACTGTTCAATTACTTCCTTATAAGCAGTACTGATGCGTCAATGAGTATATAATTCTTAAATCCCTTAAGAAACAAAAATCAGCTGGCCTTGCTAAGATGGGAGGGTCAGAAAAACATTTTGGTAACAGAAAAACATTGTCTTTTAGGCCCAGGCAAACAAAACAGCCTTCTGTTGGCCTTCTCCCCTGGCTTTCTCTCACTCACCTACCAGGAAGCACATCTATCTCACTGATAAGAACCACTAATCCTCTTGTGCAAAATTCAGGGTCAAATAGTGTGTGTGAGACAGAACTTGGGGTTTCATCTGGAAATGCAATGTGAAGGGTCAGCAGGAAGTGGCTTGTAGAAAACAAACTGTCCTGAATGGCTCCCATGAGCCTGCCACTCGGCCCCCTGGGGTGTGGCAGGCAGGCAGCTCAACCACCTTTACTGCGGACCCACTGTGCAGGGGACACGGTAGTCACAAGGGCCTACCATAGGAAAGAGAAGATTTCCCACACCCCATCCTGAATCCTGAGGAACTTACAAACAGGATGAAAATCACAAATAAAGGCAGACACACTCAAGTGGCCCAAATGTATACACATAGATGTAACCAATGATGGTGAAACAGAGATGTTCCTGGAAGGGCAGCCACTGGGCCAAGAGGAACTTGTGAGAAATAAAATTTTTAAATGCTGCATGGGATACAGAGGAAACAAGCAGACAGAAAGGGCTCCCAGCCCTGCCACTTGCTGGCAGGGTGACCTTGGGCAAGTACCATAAGCCCTTCACGACCAGCTTCCCAGAAGCTCTAAGCTGAATCACAGGAACCCGATTAGCTTTGGGTTTTGGTATTTTGAGTTTTCCTTCCCATGCTATGGTGTTTTAAATTTTATTTTCATGATTTTTTTTTTTAATCTACCATTCAGGGATTGTTTACTATCTGCTAAACACTGTCCTGGGAGCTTTCATTATTTCATACTCATTTGGTCCTGACGATACCCTTGGAAGGGTTGTATTATTCTCGCTTTATGCTCTCAAATGTGCCTAAGGTCACACAACTCACTGGAATAAGGATGGTTCCTGGTTTTAGCCTCACAGCATGGAAGAGCTACTCAACAAATACTTTATGGCTGAATAAATAAAGACGCACATGAATGAATGAAGTTGTAGACTCCTTGCTTAACTCACAAAGTTCTCACTATATCAGAATCCTTTTATCAGATTCCTTCTATATGTATTTTTTGTCTTTTTTTTTAATTCTTCTCCCCAAAGTCCCCCAGTACATACCTGTATATTCTAGTTGTGAGTGCCTCTGGTTGTGCTATGTGGGACGCCACCTCAGCATGGCTTGATGAGCAGTGTCATGTCCGCGCCCAGGATTTGAACCAGCGAAACCCTGGGCCGGTGAAGCGGAGTGCACTAACTTAACCACTGGGCCACGGGGCCAGCTCCTACACATGTCTTTTTAATATGTTATCTCAGAATCTTTTTTTGAAAATTAGACATACATCAAGATGCAGAAATGAGCAAGACTTAGATTCCATCTGAGGGCAGCACTCACTGTAACAGCCACACTGCCCTGTCCTGGGCAGACTCCCATCATCCAGCAACTAAAGGGTTAGACCCAGCTCAGCCACAGGCTTCCAGGGGTCTGCTCCAAGGCTTGGGCTATCTTCAATTCTGATGGGTTCGTGTTGAATATATAGGGTATCACTCCTGGAAATAAGTAACTTAACATCCCACACTTCAGTTTGCTCATCTGTACAGAATTAATCTGTTAGCTTAGTGCTGACCACCAAGGTTTCTTCTAGCTCAAATATTCTATCATCCTATGAGAAGACATAGAAGGCATTGATGGAAAAAGCCAGGTCCAGGGCAATGCAAGCAGCAAGCGACGGACAGTGGCTACTGCCTTAAATCCAACTTTCGCAGGGACGCTCACATTTAGCTGAACTTCTGAATCACTTGGAGCACTTAGTAAACCCACTGATTCTTGCTCCATCTCACTTGCCTGGGAAAGGGGTTTGTTTGTTTGTTTTTTTAAAGAATCTGCATTTGTATGAGGCTCCCAGGGTACTTCTAAAGTTTACTCTGGTTACCAACCACTGCTCTGGGGCGGGGCCAGGGGTGGGAATCCCTGAAGTTGAAGGGATTGATATTCTGCAGAGAAAATATTTTCCTCTCTGGCCAGAGGGACTTCTCCCACCCCCAACCTACTTTCACTCCCTGTGCAAAGGCTACCTGGTCTTGGAGGTTTCCGTGACCTGCTGCTTCGTCCCTCTAATGGCTGCTGGTGAATTGTGCCATATTCCAAAGTTCTTTCCAACTGTTTTGAGCCTCCTGCATCTGAATTCAAAGAAGGGGTGCAGAAGCAGCTGGAAGAGAGAAACCAGAAGGGCATAGTCCAGCAGCAACCTTCGGAAGAGCCAATCAAAACTGCTGGGCTCCTAATTCATCACACGGGATGAAAGAACGGCCCGCCATATTGGTCATTGGAAAGCAAAAACCAGAAGGAAAACTAAAAGTTGATATTGGTGATTTGAAAGGAGGTACATAAAGGCCCAATACCAACAATGACTAAAAGCCAAATAAACTTTTTTGAAAAATTAAGGCATCTTCCATTGTCCTCAACCTTCACCTTATCAGATTTCCTCTTCTTTGTGTTTTTAACAGGACTTGACAATGACTAGTTCTCCAGCCCAGAAAATCAAATGTCCATCGACTTGGGTAATTAATTTAAAAAGTGAATACTGAGGATTTTTAAATGATAGTCTTAAGTAAGACTTCTTGCTCTCTCTCTCTCTCACACCCAAATGCACACGCATATATGCATCATACCTGCACAGCGAAGATGGGTCATGGAATAAGACAGGCAGACATGGGTTGTCATTATGGACTAGGTGTGAGATCTTGGGTAAATTGCTTCATCTTTGAAAGCCTCACCTCCTTTACCAGGTACAATGGAGGGAAGAATGGTACTCATCTCACAGGGTTGTGGTAAGGATTACATGAAGTAGCATAGGTAAAGTGCTTTGCACAAGGTCAGTAGAGAATAGCACCATAATAATTAGTAGGGTTTTTTTTAAATGCTGGTTGGCAACCACTTTAGGGCAGAAGAACATCACAAAGTACCACAGTTCAATAAGTTAATCAATGAAAATATTATCTGAGTATCTTTTGAACATATATTAATAAGATGGAAGAGGAAAAATCACCTATTTCCTTTCTATCACATGCTATCTATATGTTTATATGGAGGTATAAAATACGCACTTGCTAATTCAAATCTGAGAAGTCAAGAAGTAAAGGTCAACATTCTTACTATCATTGTCAAAAAAAGGTGATAAATGTCTTGCCCTTACGGCAGCTGGCAGTTGGCACCGTGAATGCTGCTGGGACTATTGTTTCTGAGTACACTCCTCCCTCAGCTTCCCACCCCCTCCCCTTGGCTCATTAGAGAGTCTTACTCTCCAAAGAATATTTCGTATATATTCCATCCAGCCCTGGTGGTAAGAACATAGCACTGGACAGGATGAAGTCAAAAGATCAACAATGCGACACTCTTCAGCTTGGCCACTCCCAGGTTATCAGCAGCCGTCATTACCTTTGCTTAAAGGATTCACTGCAGAAATAATAATTCCAGGAGGGAAAGGACACCACACTGTCACCAGGAAAGAAGTGATATAGGTATGAGATGAAATGAACGATCCCTTTGGAAGCATTTTAGGAAACCCCCTGTTGCTCTTGAATTTTGGTCTTATTTGGAGATGCCAGAAAGACCCTGACAATTTATTTAAGGTGGAGAAGTAATTTTTAAAAGTAAAGAATGGGGAGAAGGACAAAGTTTTAGAAACAGGAAGTCCAAGAATAAAAAACAGTATTTTAACAAACATCCTAAAACACAGGGTCAAATGGAGGGATTTCTAATGATAAGCTATCATCAGGGAGAAAATAACCAGTCTTTAAAGACAGGGAAGGGCTGTTTCAAGACTGCAGATTGAGAAACAGAGACAACAGAAGCTTTCCAAGGTGCCCAGAATGACATATCTCCGTCCATGGCCAAACACGTCAGCATAAAGCCTCAAAGAATCTGGCCAGGATGGAAGGAAATCTAGTGATGGGCATATACAGATTTGACTGAAACCTGACAGTGCAACCTATAGTTCCATTCATATATTTTCCTGAAGGCATAGAATATTAGCTAAACTTAACCGGATAGGAAAATTCCAATAAACACACAGAAGTTTTTGTGAATTCCATTTGTAAGAATTTTTCATAACCCTATATGATAAAAAAAAAAAAAACCCAAATGAATAGAAAACACGAAGACACCAGGAGAACACAAGCAACTGCTGATGGAGGATGTGGGTATAACGGCCTCAAGACAGTACTAAAGCTTAATCCTAAAAATTAGCAACTTCAACAAAAGGTTTTGCCACATTAGCTGTGCAACCTTGGACCAGTTACTAAACCTCTCTTCAGCTTCCACGTTTGTACAATGGGGATATACCTACCTCACTCGAATACTGAATAAAAGACCACATATATAGCAGCATTTTGTAGACTGAAGGAACTACATGTCTGTAGAATGTCAATTAACCCATCTCACAGAGCTGGGATCTCGGCGTGAGCAAGAAGCAAATACCTGAGGTGTCACACACATGCCTTCCTGTTGAGGGCTCTCTGTGGGGGGTGCTGCGCCTATAGATAATGTGGGGTTTGTTTTGTTCCTCTTCATCTTCTTGTTCATCAATGGGCAGTAGTGGTTCAATAAAATAATCCCCATCATGGGACCGGAATGTGCCCAGCTGCAAATGAAGAGATGAGAGGCCGATTTAATATAACTCAGTCACTGGGAGAAAAAACAAGGAAACATTGCCAAGTAGAGACGGTACCATTTGATTCAATCTCTTTCCCACAAGGGCTGCTCAAACTGAAAATGCTGCTGACGTATTTGGAGAAGCAGTTTATTTTCACTCTCTGCCATACCCTTGCTTTGACGCTATTTTATTGCACCTGCTATCCAAATCTGTCTCTAAGAAATACTTCCACGCTGCTCAAGTTCTAATCATACCAACTCCGACAGGCTGTTGAAAGAGGTGTTTCTGTGGGTTAAGACAGCCTGGAAACTTAAGGACAAGTTTGAGCTCCACAGGGAAAAGCTGGCCCACGGAAGCCTGGTCATTGATTCTAATTCAGGAAGCGTGAGTTGACCACAAGGCACTCAAAGTGGTGCTGCCTGTGACATTGGCATATGAGTCTCTCCCCACTCCTTCCTTTTGCAATAGGGCGCCATATGATACAAGACTTTGGAGTCAGGCTGCCCCAGGTTCCACTTCCAGCGCCACGACTTACCCACCCACCTTGGGTACGATCTTTAACTGCTCTGAGCTTCAGCTTCCTCATTGTCAATTGGGGATAAAAGTACTTACTGTAAAGAGTTTTTGTGAAGATTAAATGAGATAATGCATATAAAGTGCTTAGCAAAGCGACATCTTGGAAAGGCTTACAACATATTAGTGGCGCTGGTGTTGCTACTGTTAGCCTCTAACCACCAGCATCCAGTTTGCTTTCGCCATTCATTCTATGCACCTTGAAAGGGGTAACTCCTCCTCCCCTTCCCACATAGCCACAGAATTTGTAAATGATAAATGATGGCTCCAGGTTGAACCACTCAAACCACACATTACAAGAACACTGAAAAGTTCTCCACACCACGCCGGTGGGCAGTGTTTAAAGGAAGAAATCAAGTTGATCCTCCATTCTTCCTTTTCCCCACACTGGAAAAGAAAAGGCAGAGGCCTTTTACTTTCCCCTGGACACACGGGAAATGACTGTCCTTGAAAGTCAGCAGCAGCATCCAGGAATTGGTTAGAAATTCAAATAATCACCTTCCACTCCAAATCACATCTACTGAATCCAAATCTTTAGGGGTAGGGCCCAGGAACTGGAATTTTAATGAGTACTCCAGGGAATTCTTATGTAGGATAAGGTCTGCGAAGCACTAGGTTGCGACACTGAGGTTCCCAAACCCAGCTGAGCATCAAAATTGCCTGGGAAGTTCAGTTAAAATTTTAGATTTATGGCATTACCCCATCTCTGCAGATTCAGAATTTCCAGGGGTGAGGTCTAGAATCTATTTTTAAAAAGCTCCCCACGTGATTCATGAGCCACTGGCTAAAAGAGAGGATAGCGCTGGTGTGGTCAGACTAAGACACGGAGTAGTTGGTTCCAGAGAAGTGATTTAACAAATTTATTCTCACCCAAGCACTTTGCCCTGTTTTCAATATACAACTCGGGTGCTCTCTAATCACAGAGCAGAAGCTGACCACATCATGTGAGACCTACTGGAGACAGGCCATAGATACTGGGAAAGAACCTGGAGCTCATCTGGTGAAGATCTGGCACCTCTGACTGGTAAAAGGGGAAACCAAGGCCCAGATGGAGGCAGTGACTTGTCCAAAGTCCCCCTCCAGAGACCCGGAAGCAGCTGAATAGGGGCAGTGCTGAGTCTCGAACTCAGGTGTCCTGGCTTTAGTCCAATGCCTTTTTAAAAAAGAACTCTGATCTTCTCTTGAGGAACACAGACTCAGTCTCTGGCCTGTGGTTAAAAGCATGGCTCAGAGAGAACGAGTGGGAACCCCAACTCTGTCACTCACTAGGTGTGAGACCTTCAGCAAGTCTCGAACTCTCTACGCCTCTGTGCCCTTATTTGCAAAATGAGTTGTTTTGAGCATTAGGTTGTGGGGAGGATTTGGGTGAGATAATGCATACATAAAGTACTTATTATAGTCACAGGCATATAATAAGAGTTCAGTAAATGGTATCTATATGAAGTCAAATTAATTTTGTTTTCAGTTCACAAAACAGCTGCTTGATTGAAAAGCAGTCGTTTCCTGGTTAAGGTGACCATTTATTCAAACATACGTACTAAGGTATCTACCATATCCAAGGCTCAAATATGGGAGAGAAATGAATTGATGCTGAGCCTCCTGCCAAGGAGAAAAGGATAGAACATGGGTACCAAGAACTATAATAACAAGGGAGAGCATGCCAAGCATCATACGAGATACAGATAAGTGTCTACGAAGGTGGAGAGAGACAGAAAGGACAGCAGCCTGAAGGACTAGGAAGAGGTTTCCTGGGGAAGAAGATATGTAAGTTACTCTTTAAAAGAGGGTATGATCTGAGCATGTGAAGCTGGGTGAGATGACCAAGTAAATTCAAAGGCCCAAAGGCAAAGAGATAGGACTAGAATGGAAGGAAAATTCAGAGACAGAAGCAAAAGCAGATTGCAAGAAATACAGGATTTGTGGAGAATAGCTTGAGAGATGGGAATGGATTTGCGGATGTGAGAGAGGTGAGAAGGTAGATTCTAAATGATCTGAAGTGTGTGATGAAGGAATTTCTAGTTGTCCACTAGGCAATGGGGAGCTATGCAAAGTAAGCAAATAGGGTACCAAGGAGATCTTGCTCCTAGTCATCACTGATCTGTTAGTGGTGTGTGGCAGCGATTAGAGAGAAAAGACTGAAGAAGCACCTAGATGGAAATATTTCTTAGACATCAGTCCTAAGGAGAGAGGGGGAGAGAAGCAGAGAAGGCTAGAATTAGGGTAGGGATGTACAGAAGAGGCGAGAGACATATCTGAGATGGAATTAAGGGAAACTGATAACTGGCTGGTGTGGGGTCAGGGGAAGGGGACGGCTGGCATGGCCTTGTCTAAAGAGTGAAAGATTCCCTGGGTGGGCCACTGGAACATCATGATACTACTGCTACAGAAATGGTAAAGGTAAGTCTTGGGAGGAAAGACAAATTCCGGAAGGCAGGTAAAGGGACGAGGGTTTTAGAGCTAGACTAACCGCTTAAGATAGTAACAGCCAGCGCGCATATCCTTAAGATGTATGCCGACTCTTTTCTCTCCCAAAGACGCAGAGTGCAAATTAAACGCAATATAAATGGGGTTATCGTGGTGTAGGCGGTCCTTTCTGAAGTCCCGTCCCTCAGTTCCCAGAGTTACCACTGGCAGTCCCACGTGTGAGCTGCCACCTAAAATTGCCAATGGAAATTAAGGTCCTGCGCAGCAAAATATTTATACAACTGCAGGGGCCACTCAGCAGGGTGCGGAGGCGGGGATGGAGGAGGAGTAAAGGCTGTTTACAAACTTGACGTACACACGCAGCCCTACCCTTAAGGTTCTGGAATTGGGGGTTACCATGTCGGGATCTGGGGACGCTCTGATGCCCCGGGTTCTGAAGCCTGACTTATGAGCACCGGGGCCATAACCTTTCGAAGCACAGGATTCCTGCGCTCTGGCCCTAGATCTTGGGGCAGCGATGACTCACTGCAACAGCCCCTGCTCCTTCGCCAAACTGCCGTCTCCGCCCACCCCCAAACCACGTCCACAGAGCGCTGCGGCTCCGGGCGCTTTGCTGGGGGCTAAAGGGTCTCATCCCCCATCCCTGTATCCTAGCAGGCTAAACCTTCCCCCGCGCCCAGTCTTCAAGTTTGCCTCGCTCCCCACCGGACCTCTCCATTGAGCAGCCGAGATAGACGCGACATCTAGACGGGGTACTCTGGATCCACGAGCAGCGCGCGGACAAGGCAGCAGAGCGTCCGGGGTAAGTATCCTTGCTCCCACTTAGAAAAGGTGACAGCGGGGAGTGTGAGTGCTCAGGGGAAGAGAAAACGCATCACCGGGACGCAAGGCACACAGCGCCGTGCGTTGTAGGAGCCTGACCGGGGAAAGTTTCTGCGTCACACGCGCGTGGCAGAAACGCACGTCGCTTGGGAAAGTCAAGGACCACTCTCGCTTGGGCCAGAACTTTATAGTGGGTCCTCAAGTGTCATAGGAGAGGGCGGACGTCGTATAGGACCTACTGAAGGGCAGGTGGGGGTGGGGATGGGGGGAGGTAAGCAGCCGGTCGGGGTACCAGCTTGGATCCCCTGCTAAGTGCGTATTTTGCAGCGCAGGGAGGTGGCCGCCGCGCCCTCTCGCTTCCCTCTCTAGGGAAACGTGCACCGCAGGCTCCCTTTTCCAATTCTCTGGAACCCCTATGGGTGGAAACCCCAGAGGAACCGAAACCTCATCTGGGCAGCCTCCTCAAGCTCTCTCCCACCATTTCTGCTTCTCGGGGCCACCCCGCCAGCAGGGTGCAGAGTCGGACTGTGCCGCACCCCCCATTCCTAGTTTCCACCCTAATTCAAAGCGTCTAGCACAGGCTCCACCCTCTTCCCCGCCCCCAGAGCCCTCGGCCCACCCTTCCGTTCCTGGGACGGGACCTGTTCCCTGTCAATCCTGTTTAGCCTCAGGGTTCCTGGCGCGTGAAAAAAGGCCCTGAGAGAACATGGGGACTCTACGTTACGCACCGCCCTCCACGACACACAGAAGGAACTCCCCGTACCCGAGGCTGGGGATCCTCAGCCCACACCCCCATCTCAAGACGCGCCAATGAGGATTCGGGTCCTCCCTGCGCTCAGCTGCTCCGCTCCTGGGCGGCCGAGTTTGCTGCAAGGAAGGGCAACTCTCTCCGAGTTTGGAAACCGACTTCCAAGCCGCCTCTGGCGTTGGGCAACGCGCAGCTGAGCCGAGTTCTGACCCTAGAAAGCTCCGACACATCCAGAATCCCCTCGGGGCGGATGCGTGGGCTCCTCTGGAGTGTAAGCGCACGCAAGCGGCTAGCCACCCAAACCGCACGACGCAAACGAGTTTCTAGCTGACATTTAACGCCAGAGCGGAGGTTCGGCGCAGTGAGGGTCTTAGGCTAGAGAGCAATTAAGTCTTCCAGAAGCGAGTGAGAAGGCGGGAGGGGAGGAGAGGAGGGGGGCGCGCGCCCACTTACCATTCCTGAGCAGAGGCTGATGACTGCCGTGTGCTCGGACTTGGTATTGACATGGCCTTTGTAGAAACAGTGCTTGAGTTCCGCTTCCTCCTCGGAATAAAACTTTGTCTGGTTCACCCCAGGCGCCCCGAGGAGGGTGACAGTGAACAGTGGAGCGATAAATCCGGCATGGGCGGTGAGATTAAATAGAAACTGCTGGCCGAAGGCGGAGAGGCGGTAATGCGCCTGGGAGGAGGTAGAGGAGGAAGAGGAGGAGGCGAAGGCAGGCCAGGGGTCAGAGGCAGAGTTAATGCTCCGTCGCCTTCTTTTGAAGTGCACGTTCGTGGGAAAGGGTTCTCCGAGAGCGTTCACTCGGATGGGAGACGCGATTTCGTATTCGCTCAAGGTCTCTAATAATTTCACTGCAGAGAGAAGAGAGGCACATGAACCAATAATTCAATTTTCCGCAAGTTTTAATTTAAAATGAAGGTGGGGGCTTTGTCCTGAGTTATTTTCCAGAGCTTTTTGCCCATTCCAGTCAGTCCCTTCACCTTCAGTTATTGGACAAATATTTGTTGAACACCTACTGTGTGCCAGGAACTGCGCTAGGTGCCGAGGATACACGATTCCGAGCCAGACAATGAACAAGTCAAAATACATAAGATAAATTCAGATCCTGATAAATACCCTGAGTAAAATAGAACATGCCGCTATCTGGTGCCCCCAGTTACTAAGTAACTATAGTTTGGGGCATGGGAGTGGGGAAGGGGAAAGATCAGGCTAAAAGCAAAGTGTGTGTGTCGGGGGGTTGGGGGGACTAAATTCGTTCCACAGCGCCTCTCTCTAGAAATTGGCTGGGAATGACCTAAAGAAGGGAGAGACCGCAAAGCGGGAGATAATTCTTTCTAGGAAAAGGAAAAGAGGCCTCCGCTGCGGGGTGCCCGCTCCCGGGCGCGGAGGCTGGGGAGGTGGTGACAGGGGCAGAGGGGTGCCGGGGGCCGGAGCCTCGTTACCTTGCCTCGGGTGTATCCTGTCCTTGCGCACGGCCGCCGCGGCGTCTGGGCTCCCCATCTCGGCTAGGTCCCGCACCAGGAGCGTTAGCAGTGTGGCCCAGGATACAAACTGCATGGTGCTCCCCACCCCTCCCCCCGCTGCCCCCACCCCCCTCCCTCCTGCCCTCCTTGGCTGCGGCGGCGACGCGAGGCAGCGGCCGCGGAGAGCGCGCGGAGCCCAGCGCCCGCCGCCAACTTTTGACTTTAGGAGTCGCTGAGGGCTCGCCGCGAGGGTCCCGTCTGCGCTCGGCTGAGCAACGCCGCCGCCTGCCGAGAGCTGAGCCGCTCGGGCCGCAGGAGGAGAAGGAGGAGGAGGAGGAGGACTGGGGCTCGGCTGCTCGGCCGCATAATGTCCAGGGAGCGGGCCGGAGAAAGCGCGGAACGTGCGCTCCGAGGCGCGCCGGGCGCCCTGTGCTGGCGGGGATAGCGGAGCGGCTTCTTGAATGGGGGGCTGGGGGGCGGAGGCGGGGGGGCCGCGGGTCCTCCGCCGCTCAAATACCCCCGGTGCCCGCCTCTAGGAGGAGAGGGGAGGAGAAAGCGAAGCGAGCGGGACCGCCTCCTTCCAGACCGTGTCCCCTCCTCGGCCGGTGCAGGACTCCCAGCCGGCCTCCGGCTGCATGAGGCGGAGGCCAGAGGCGCCGGGAGCGCCGGGGCAGCCGATCGCGGTCCCGCCACCTCGTGGAGACGGGCTTTGCTGAGTCTCCCTGCCCCGGAGAGAGAGCAGAGAAAGTTCTCTCCTTTTCCTGGCGCTCGCAGTCAGTCTCTGTCTCTCGTCTCTTCTCTTCTCTCTGCTGTCTCCCTTCCGAATCTCTTTTTTTCTCTTCTTCACCATGTCTTTCTATGCCGCTCGGTCACTGCGACCTTTTCTCTCCCTGTGGTCTCTTCCCCCTCTCCCACTGTGCCTCTCAGTATTTCCCTTATTTCTCTCTTTCCTTTTCTCTTTCTCTCTCCTCAGTACCCATCTCTTTGCATAAATCCTCACCTTCTGCTCTTTCCCCCACTTTATGAATTTCTGTCCCTGATTATCCCCTTCTTTTGGTTTCTTACAAGTGAAAGCGTCCCAGTGCAGGAGCGCCTTCCCTTTCTACAGTTTCTCACTGGGGACGAGATTTGGCATCTGAGCTCCGCTCTCGATTTAACCGCACCAAGTCAAGAGTTTTAGAGATGGGGCTCTTAATCTTGTTGTTTGAGGTGTGTTTCAAACGCATGGTCTCCTGAAAATTTCGAAAAGCTTTTAAGCTGCTTTCCCCAACCACTGTCGCCATCCCGAAAGGGTCCGTAACATTCTGTAGGTGCCCGGTCCAAAAAAGGTTAAGAACTGCTCTGGGCAGCAAAAGGGGGCGGGGACTTCGGCACCCCAGACTGCCCCGGTTTAGGGGATAAGGGGCGGGGGAGCGGAGTGCGAAGGGAGAGTCGTGGACCCCAGAGGGGAGGCACCAGTCCCAGAAGGGACTTCTCAGTCACTTCCGCTTGCTTTTTGTCAGACAGATGCTTGGAGCGGCTCAAAGCTGGCGCTTCAAGCGACACCTACCTCCGCCTTGGGATGCAAATTTGGAAGTCAGAAATTATGCCAGAGAGGGAGGATATGAGTGTGAGTGTGCATGTACGTGTGTGCGTGCGTGTGTGAATTGTTTAATCTTGGCTGGTTCTAAAGCACTTTTTCCTTCCCCAGCCCTCAGAAAGATAAGATGTGCTCATTTCAAGAGAAAGGAAATGGCAATTTCGGTAAAAGATATGACAAATGTATGTTTGTCCAAGTGCTCCACAGCTGGAGTTTTCTGTTGCTTGATAGAATGGCACTCAATGTTGAAAATTCCAAAGACTGCCAACACCAGGGACCAAATAGCAATATGTTAGATGTGTCCACTATTCTGGAAATATTAATGCATATATTTCACCTGGTAGAGGGAAAAATGACTTGGCAAGACTGGAATTTCCTAAAGCAGTTGTTAACCCAAATGGACCTGTGTTGCCATTGTCTAACTTTATTACTGGGATTTGTAATGGGTATATACAGAGTAAAGATGAGAAAGTAGAAACACCTGCAAAGAGCACAATCAGAGATTTTTAAAGGATGACATTTAAATCTTTTTCTTAAACCTTCAAAATAATTCGCTAAAATGTTTCTTCTAATACACAATTTTCCCTTTCATTATGTAATGAAATTCCTCACCATCACAGTGTCTGAGAGTTGCTGAGAGTTTAACAAGGAATGGAAAAATATCAAGAAATTAAAGTATTAGCTGATTCCTATGGAAAATATTCTAGAACTTGCACTGTAAAATTACCCCAAAATATAGCACTTTTACAGACACATAGATGAACAGAAGAGACAGTCCAGAATTAAACCTATGCGCATACGGTCAATTAATTTAGGACAAAGAGTCAAGAATATACAATGAGAAAAGGACCGTCTCTTCAGTAAATGGTGTTGGGAAAACTGGGTTCCCACATGCAAAAGAATGAAACTGGGCCACTGTCTCACACCATACACAAAAATCAACTCAAAATGGATTAAAGACTTGAATGTAAGACCGAAACCATAAAACTCCTAGAAGAAACATAGGGGGTAAGCTCCTGGACATTGATCTTGGCAAGGAGTTTTTGGATTTGACACCAAAACAAAGGCAACAAAAGCAAAAATAAGTGGGGCTACATCAAACTAAAAAGCCTCTGCACAGTAAGGGAAACCATCAACAAAATGAAAAGGCAACCTACCGAATGGGAGGAAACATTTGCAAATAATAT